GAGCCCTTCACTGTGGGGTCTGATGATCACTCCAGAAATTAGTGTCAGAACTGAATTGTTAGACACCCAGTTCATGTGAGAGAATCAGAGAGTTGGTTGGTGCGAGGAAAAAAATAACAATAATGAACAACTGTCTGCCTACAACTTAAAAAACATGATGGAAATGGACACGTTCTTAGGAAAGATGACTCACCAAAACTAACTAAAGAAGAAAAAGCCTGAATGAAAGACATGGAATCAGTAGTTTAAAATCTCCCCACAAAGAAAATACTGGACCCAGATCGTTTTAAAAGTGAGGTTTATTTTAAAAGTAAAAAGAAAAAATCTGACATTATATTAAATTTTTCAGAGATGAGAAATAGAGGAAAAGTTCTCCAACTAATTTCACAAAGCCAGTACAGGCAGACACCACAGACCATTTGCCTGATTGATGTTTTCCCGTAAAATACCTCTTGTATTTAACATCCAACATCATACAACATATATATCGCTCAAAATAACCTTTCAACTGGTATTTCAACAGGAAAATTATGTTTAGGTCCCCAAAACTCACTACAACATTTTTACCAATAACAACAACCAGAAAACAAACAAACAAAAAACAGGTGTGGGGAATGCCTTGAGTTACATTGGAAACACAATTAGTAAAACGTCCCCATTATGTGTCAGCAAATCAAACAGCATACTGAATATCAGTGAAGGGGATTTTCCACACATGTTACTGGTGATAAAAGAAGCATTAAAGTATCACCCACAGTGTGAATCATTTGCTGACACATTTCCACAGTGCCTTTCACATTTCGTATTGCCCATTTTTTCCCTAGTTTTGTAGAATGAGAACCAAAAACATTGAGAAAGTGTTAAAGAACTTGGTGGAGAAGGAAGCAAAGCCCGTAGAAAAGAAATAACAATGAAAAAGAATATGTTACTGCTAAAAAAGCAACCATTTGTTAACAACTATATTGTTTGGTGATCAGGAAGCAAAGTTATGAACGTTTACAGCCTAAAGTGATAGTTTGTTATTTAATAGAGGTTTGTTTGCTATAATTTAGTTACATTTTATGAAATTGGTTTGGGTTAACAAGTAACCCATTGTAATTTTACCATTTAAAATAAAGGAAAATAGGCTCCCAGTTAATGTTTTTGCATAGAATATCCAATTTTCCTAAATAAACTACTAGTGTTAAGTAGGTATCTTTATAATTTTAACATTGAAACTATCAAAGACGATATGATAACCACAGTCCCATCTCATCCATAAGCATAAGTGCAATAATTCCAAACAAAAAATATTTTTCAATGACAAGTTTGGTTTATTCCAGAAATGTAAGATTGGTTCAACACTAGAAAATGTATTAATGCAATCATCTCCTTAATAAAGTACAAGAAAAGCCCTATGCTTATTGCAATAGGGGCAGAAAAGACATTTAATAAAAGTCAACATAGATTTATGATAACAAAAAAAAAAAACTAGACATATAAATAGAAGGAAACTTACCTAACCCAATAAATAAACAATAGGAAAGGCAAAAGAATACCATTCACATCATACACACATACTGAAACTTTGAGAGCATTCGTTTAAAACCATGAATACGACAAGGCTGTCTACCATTATCACTCTATTCAACACTGTTCTAAAGGTCCTAGCCAGGGCACTCTCATACATACAGACACAGTAAGAGGTGTAAGCAATAGAAAGGAAGAAATAAAGCATTTACAGATGATATGATTGTTTAGTGAGAAAACCTTCCCAACTCTGCAAATTATAAAAACTATTCAAGTTATTTAATATCAGTTGGACATTAAATTGGGTCCCTGGCACGCACCAAAAACAAAAGTCAACCCCATATGGGTTAAGTACTTAAAATGAAATGTGCATAGCTTATCTACAAAATCTTACATGTAGGGGCCGGCTGAGTGGCTCAGTTGGTTAAAAGCTCGCTCAAGAGTTTGAGCTCTGAGCAACAGCGGTTCGAGTCCCGGCCTGAGCTGAGCAGCCGCTGAGCTGCCAACAGGTGGCAGGATGGCTCAGCTAAAAAAAAAAAAAAAATCTTACATGTGGTCCTACTGACGATATTAGAGTGGAACAAGAAGTCGAATAAGAAAACAGCTCACCTCTCACTCTCCACCCTTTACAGAGTATATTAGTTTTCTCCTGCTGCCATAATAAATTAATGCAAATTTAGTGGTTTACGATTACAGAAGTGTATTATCACAGCTCTGTAGGTGTGAAGTCTGCCATGAGTCTGCTGGACTAAAATCAAGACATCAAAGGGGCTGTGTTCTTTTCTGGAGACTCTAGGGGGAAATCTGCTACCCTGCTCATTCAGGTTGATGGCATATGTAAAAATGAAATCCCTGTTTCCTTGTTGCCTATCAGCTGAGGGACATTCCCAGCTTCAAGACGAGCCTGCCGATACGCAAAGATCTTCCTCCATCTTTAAAGTTAGCAAGAAAGAGTGGGCTCTTCTCCTGTCTTCTCTTCTGTCACTCTTCGAAGTCTCCTGACTTCCTTTCCGATTTTTATCTCCTCATATCAAGGTCCCTAACATTAATCACATCTCCAATGCATCTTTTACTATGTAATGAAACATATTTATAGGTTCCAGGGATTAGGATGTGGACATCTTTGGGAGACCATCAATCTGCCTACCACACAGGGAAACACGTTTGCACTAATACAGTGTGTAGCTTGTACGTAATGTGGTAGTCCCAGCCTGCAAGAGTGGAGGGGAGACTAGATAGAAGATAGCCCCTTTTTTCGCGCGTCCTTTCTGCTTGCCTTCGCTTAATTATTGGGTTTTCCTTACCAAGATGTGTGAAGTTGAAGCAGAATAGGAAAACTGAAGAATTTAGAATTGATTTCCTGACACCAACACTAATCCAATAATTGGAACAAATGCTACCCTTCTATTTACTCCTGAATCACTCAGACTTTAGGAAAGCTATATAAAGGGGAGAATAGAAAAGAGTAAGGTGGGAACAAAAATGTCAAACCATTTAAAGAAAAACAGCAGCATATGTCCGCCTTCAAGAACTCAATCTAAGAAGTTTCCATACCTGGGTGGCAGTGAATGAGAGGAAAAATCTAAATCATTTAGAGTCATTTATTGGATGTCACTATGTACTGCACAGTGCTAGATGATGCCACAAATTTTTCTTAATTTTTAAAACTAACCTATGTGGTTCATGGGTGTAGCTATTGTGCTGTAAAAGGGGGAACTTGGGCTCAGAGAGGTGGTCATTTACCTATGGGAACAAGTGTCAGAGACGGATTTAAACCTAGGTCTGCTGGCTGCTCCAGCCTAAGGAAATGTCCTCTCCCTGATCTTCCCTAGCAAAAAGACAAAATTAATGTTTGCTATAACCCCCACACTGTACCATTCAGTGTCTTTAAATGACACTCTTGGGGGTGTCGTCCTCCTTCCCCAAACTCTCTCTCCCATAGATGTTAAAGCGACTTCCTAATGAAGATCTTAGTGTTATTTACCTTCTTGTGATCATTATACAATTAATTCTTCTATATGGACATTGTGCCTATTGTCCCCAAGTTGATGTTATTATTATTCAGGCTAGCCCTTGTGTGCTGACCACTAGACTATAAGCTTTAATTTTCTTTTTCTTATTTCCTCTCT